AGAGTTAATAACTTCATACAAAGGGGGGTCAAGGGTTGGGAATCCATTGCAAGGAGCCCATACACCTAGGCATGGATCAATTTTGGGCATGCACAACAATAGAAGGTGCTGACACGCTTGTAAACAAATCAGAACGCACAACATCTGGAGGAAACATAGAGGTTATGATACTAGGGAGAATCAGGTTTGGGTCATGCACAGCAATGTCCAATGCTGTCATGCCCCAAACCAAACACAAGTACTAAAAACATTGGGGTGGAGATTTAGGATTCACAATTTATAGTAAGTAGTGTACAAAACTTTAATTCAGAACAGGAAAGGGAAGATTAAAGCATGTTTAACAATGGTACTAGGTTAAGTACAAACATGGGACAAACAAGGATGAAAGAGACAGTAAGGAAACATGTGGTTGTTGGTGCAGAAGCTTAACTAGAACATACCAGTAAAATGCAAATGCAGAGAAAAATAAGCAGGTTTCCCACAACTTAACCTTGGCTAGGTAAGGCAGCAATACAAGTAGCAACAGAGAAAAAAGAGAGATTTTAGTGGAGTGTGTGTCTGAACTCAAGTATTTTATGCCTTGTGTTCGTGTCTTTGAAAGAAGAGAAGTTCAGGTTATTTATAGCATTTTGAAAATGAGTGAAAGAGAAGTAATAATCCACAAACATGGAAACAATCACTATTTAGAATCAATTACACAAGGGATTGCCTTTAATTAAGGGATCACTTGCTTAACGGGTAATGACAGGTTCAAAATAAGGAAAGAAATCAATTTATAGGCAGACTGGTTATTGCCATAAAAGAAGTAGTAAAACAATTCAGTAAGTGATTAAGTCTAAGTATAGGAATATACTTGTTTTGGAAAGGATTCAGAAAGGCAAAACAGGGAAATAAATCAATTAACCATAACAGGCGAGTGTAATCAGATTTTCACAAAAGAAAAGTTTGAAATCAGTCACACAATTGAAGGTCATTCAAAGAAGGAAACTCATCATATAAATAGATTGCACAAACACTGGACATGCGAGGCCAAACAATTGGCAAAAGTAAACAGCATACAATAATAACACAAAGTTAGTAGACAGCAAACATTCAAAACATAATAGTCACGTAGGTCAAGTGAAAAACCCTTCTGAAAAGCATAGTCGAGTTTCAAAGATAGTAAGAACCCAGAACCAAAGGAATAACATAAAGAAAAGAGATGTTGAAACAAAGGAATTTCAAATCAAGTCGACCAATTTCACACAAATGAATTGCACAGGCAGTTTCTGAAACTCGAATAGACCCCAAAGAAATTAGGGTTTTCGAAACCAATCGAGTTTAAAGATGATGAACAAATAGATTACACAAATACTTAGCATATTGCTTCAGAGACTCGAATGAAACAAAAATAAATTAGGGTTTTCAACACCAATCGAGTTTAGAGATGATAAACAAGTAAATCAAACAACAAATAGTCTTAGAAACTCGAATGAACCCAAAAAATTAGGATTTTTATCATGCAAACTTAGATAGAAGGACAATACGAGCAAACATAAAACATGTCAAAAATCAGAGAAAAGTTTTGAAATAACTTAACAAGAAAACCCTAATCGGAAAAGGTAAAGAGTTTTGAAAGCAAAGTTTTAAAAGAAACTTCGAGAAAAATGCTTAGAAGTTCAAAGCAAACATAGATTTGAAGCAGATCTAAAAGAAATCGAAAAAACCTTAGAGATTAGGGTTTCATATGAACCCCAAGTGACGAGAAAGGCCTTGAAAGCCATTGATCTAAGCAGGAGAGTCAAAGGTCTGACTCGAATGGCCATGGCTGGCCGGAGAAAGATTAGAGACGACTGGAGAACAGTCATCAATCAAAGTCTGGACCAATCCCCTTCATGATCTGTTCATGAGACCACAAAAATAAATATGTAGAAGCGATGAGAGGTTGATACAGGCCTCCGATGACATTGGAAGGCCATGGATTAGGGTGGCAGCGGCTAGGTTATAAGGGTGTTATAGAGAGGATTTGGGAGAGGAGGGGTTTCAGAGGCAGCGTGTTGTGAGGAATGAGTTAGGGTGAACGGGTCGTTTGGGTTAAAAAGGAAAGGGTGATTATTGGCCGTTGATCTTGAAGGATCAACGACCTATATTAAAACGGGTAATTGGGGTGGTTTAATGGGAGAGGGTTTGGGTCGGTTCAGATTGCAATTGGGTCGAGGTAATTGGGATTCAAATCATGCTATAATTTAAAATAAAATGGGGCTAACATTTAAATAGCCAATTTTTTGATTTGTAAAAAATAGTAAAATATTTTCTGTAAGTAAATTAAATGTGATAAAATGATTTATAGTACATAATTATCAAATTAAAAATATTTGGACTTAATATTTATAGATATAAACGCAATTAAATCTAAAAGAGGCTAATATTGCCATTATATGCAATTTAGCTTTAAAAATAATAAATCAATTTATCAAAATATGCAAAAAGTATCTTAGCTATATTTTAGTATAAATATGAGAATCCAATAAATGAATCACAAATATGATAACTTTGGGAATTATTATTCGTTTTTATGAATAAAATAGGGGAATAAATTGGTTTAAAACTCTTTAAAAATTAAGGAAAAATGTTGTCCGTTGTATATATATGCTATTTTTGAAGTATTTTGCATATTAAAAATATATAGGGAAAAATTGGGTATCAACATCATATTCTAATGTAGGCTTTCCTAGCAAGTGGAATGCCAGGCACCATCAATGTCCCAAAGGTGGGAATTCCGGATCGTGACAAGTTGGTATCAGAGCACTAAGTTGCCTAGGTCTCAGAGTTACGAGTAAGCTTACTAAAGTTTGGAGGATCAGTATGGAGACGACTTTAATTATCTTCTAGAGGCTATGGAGTTTAGGATTAATTTCACTTCTATTCTTCTTTGTAGTGTAATTTTATTCTATCATTAATAATTGAACTGTTCTATTTCTGTTCTCATAGATGCCGAGAACACCTACTACATCTACAGTGGACAGCAGTCGAAGCCCCCAGTGGTAGATCCTATGGGGGGCGGAGGTCGATACCGAGACCGAGGCAGGGCAAAGCTCAGCCTAGAGCTCGAGCAGCACCACCACTAATGAAGCCTCTGGTAGATTTTGATGAGGAGGTTCTAGCTCAAGCTGTACCTATTAGAGCAGCTCAAGTTCTGGAGGGATTCATCGCCACTCCAGTGCTTCAGGATGCTCTAGATGTTTTGGTTGGCCTTATGGAGAGTGAGGCCCAGGACGGTACATTTTCGGTGGTACCAGCCGTCTGTCAAGCTGGGGAGGAGCATAGACTCTCACCACTCACACTCCGAAGCAGATGGCTCCCCAATATCAGATTGCAGCAGCCCCACCAGTTGGGGTATTTTAGCCGATTGTTGCGGCACAGGCCGGTGATAGGCCCGCCATGACTTCTGAGGCCTTATTGAGATTGGACAAGTTTACTAAGCTCTTTCTAGTTCACTTTAGTGGTTAACCTTCTAAGGATCCACTGGATTATCTTGACATTGTTGCCATGAGGTGCTGCGGAACATGGGTATAGCTGAGACTAATGGGATTGATTTTGGTCATGTATAGGCTCTTAAGATACTCATCTCATACTTTGTATTTATCTTTTTACTAAGTAAATGAGAAAATTGGCTTTGACCTCCCAAATTTGTGTTCCTTTGACTGTCGTTGTTTATGTGTGTATGTGTGTGTCAAGATCAAGCATGACTTCGTGCTTATTTCTTGTTAGGACTGAAACCTTGGATTTCATAGAGGTTGCATGCACACTGCCTACTTGAGTTAGGCCCATGACAAGTGGTATCAAAGCAAGGCAACGAGCATGGTAAATGATAGAGATGATATTGTTCAAGGAAATGTTGTTGGGAGAGATAAGTTGCCCACAAGAAAGCAGACGAAGAGATGGACGATCAAGGTAATACATACTGCCATTGGCATAGCAAGTGCTGATCTGACTTATGAGCATCCACCATACGAGGTTGGCCATTGTGAGGAAGGTGATGGTTTTGTTTGTTTTGGGTTGTTTAGCTGAATGAGTCGATCTCGCCGAGGCTAGTTTAGCTTCTTTAAATCAACGTACAAAAGTGTTTGAAGGAAACTTCAACTCATTTGATTCTATTGCTCTAGAAGAGCTTGGAGATGTCAAGAAGGCGACAATAACCTAACTAATAGCACACGGAAGGGATGACTAGTCTTGAGCTCAAGTTGATCGAGGCTTTGTCTGCGTTGCACGTGGAGGTTGAGTCTAGAAATCAACAACTCAAGGAAGAAAAACTCGTCGGTGACACTGGTCTAATGACGGTGCGTGATATCAAGATTGAGGCCCCAAAACTCAAAGAATTATGTTGAGAACTTCATTAGGAAAAGGGAAGAATACTTTAAGCACGTCAATATCATTGATAAGGCTGACAAGTTCGGGGTAGCAATCATGTACTTAGCTCACACTGCCATGCTATGATGGCGGAGTAAAAATGGAGCGTTAAATCCCACTTTTTTAAAATGTTAAGCTACATTGAGAGTTAGTCAGCGTAAGCTCAGAGAGCTATGCTATTCCTATGTTCATAAGTAATTATGACTAAGTTTAGTAAGTGTTAGAAGGGTTAGAGGTTAAATGAATCGAAGCGAGTAAATTTTCGTGAAATTTTGTAACTTATGGAGCAACTTACAGACTGTACATTGGAGATAACTATTTTATAACCCGTACTTTTGGGGTAATACTAAAAGTGCTTAACATGATAAAAAGGTCGTGTTACATGTCACGCGCCAACCTCGGGAGGCGCGACTGGCACTCAATCGAGTGAACCCGACTGAGAAAGCCTTTTGGACACTTTCTACCCAACTCACTATGATCAAGAAACCATGATTTGATTTAATTAGACAATAGGAAAGATCGTACAGATAACATTGCTAGTTCATTTTATATTACAACCCTTAAACCATAGTTAAGTTTCCAAAAAGTGGGGCAACAAGGCCCCGACTATACCATAAAAAGTGGTAATTTATAACAAAAGATATACTGCATAACCCCTGGAAGAAAAGGGGCTCACCAAGGCTGTTGAGAGGAGGATGCACCGCTATCTACGATCGGCATTGTCTGCTATGGAACCACCTACATCTATTCAAAGATATAGCGCCCCCGGCAAAAAGGAAGTTAGTACCGTGGAATAGTACTACTATGTATAACTAAACACCATCTCATTAGAAAGAACAACCATAACAAGAATAAAGAAATCATAAGGATCAATAAAAGCTTTAAACAATCAATACATCATCAAATAAGGGATCACATAGCCTTCACACAATTTGCATAGCTTTAAGTTGGGACTTTTAATATTGTTACATCATAATTCACAATACCACCACCTTCTTGGACGGAGTCCAATCACGACCTGATCGTCTAGGTTGCCTCATTTGAGACATGTACCTCAATCACAATTTCATTCTCACTTTCCAATTTCAATATTAGCACAATACCACCATGTGTGCGGCATGGGGTCCGATCACGACACGATCGGCTAGGCCATCTTTCCAAGATGTTTTTCCTTCTCTATAAATTATCTCATTTCAATCTTTATTTTATATATTCAGTTCATCGGCACTTGGGGCCACAATTATTGTTACACCCCATATTTTCGTACATGAAAATATGCCACAAATAAATTAATGAGAGCCCGGAAGTGAGATGTCATATCCTGTAGTACTACATTATGACGATGTTGCACCCTGTAGTGTTTTACGTTGAATTTGTCGTAAGTTAATTGACATTAGTCTAAGGAAAAGATTATTTGGAGATTGTAAGGATTATGCTATTTCAAACAAGTAATAAATAAATTTGTGAAGGTGAGCGGGGAAACAAGTAAAAGAAAAGGAATTTTCGTCCAAGTTTTGCATATTGGGATAAAATACGGCTCGAGCTAAAATACTCGGTATTTATGGATTAGAACCATACGAGGTACCGCACGACCATAATAGTAAGATGTATAAGGTATGTGAAAAGTGAGTAATATTTTAAGTAAGTGAGAATAATTCTCAATTTTGTGGGTAATTGATTAATTATCGGGTAACGGGACATTACCTAATTAATTGGAGATATATTTGGATAAAGATACTTATTGGGGCTGCCACTTGGCATCAATCTAAGCCGAAGTGGCAATAATAGGCTTGATGAGTCATAAGGCATGAAATACCTTGTTTACACGTACAAATTCTTGGATAAACAAGTATAAATTCTTGGATTGAAAACTAGGCTAAGCCATTTGGTCTCCTTACTGATAAGTAACGTGTGTCTTTAAGAATCTTCAACAATGCTTGGTAATTTCAATGGTAAAAAGAGAACATCTAAGTGGGATGGTTTCTGTCTTTGATTATAATTGACAAACTAAGATTTCTATGTATATTTTGGGGTCATTTTTAGTCTTGAAGTACCAAAAGACAAGGGAAAGACAAGGGAAAGCCAAATAAAATTGTCAAGGGCAGCTTCTTAAACTTTCTATTGATGCATAGGGTGTTACAATTTGAACCTAGTAAATTAGATGAATTAGAAGTGAAAGAGGTGTCTATTGAATATATACAACTTTTTTGAACATGTTTATGTGGTTTCTGCTAAAAGTAATAGGTTCGCTTGAACACATTGGAAAGGGTCACATCTGCCACAGAAGTGTAGGAGGATGAAGTATACACGAGAGACGGATAACAAAAAGAGATATATATTTACAGAGGGAGATGAAAAAGGTAGTAATTTGGTGCCCTGTGGTGCAATCTTTCTCAAGAATATCATATAGACTTTTCCTACTCCGATCTTACCATCACGTGTTTGGTCGTACTTAAAGTGTATTAGAGTGATTATCAAGAGAACTAGCTCAGGTATGTTAAGGCTATCCTTTCTTTCTTTTGGCATGATTCATACGATATGAACGAAACGTACAATTGTACAAATTCCATAAATGACTCTATTCATAGAAGTATTAGAGATATCTATGTTCTTGAATTTCCATGTGTCATAATATTTTATCATCTGTTCATGTGTCTCAGAAAAATATGAAAGTTGAAAAGAGTTTACTTTATGATATTACTTAGAGGCGAAATGGTCTTATGACATTCTGAATGATTTTATTGATGTACTTTTCATGCATTGCATTCATATGCATTTACCCATAACCAAATGGCGTTATATAAGCGTATATATGTAAATATATGTATATGGGATATGGGAAAAGGTTACTGCATTATATACGCACCACTACCTGATCAGCTGGTATATGATGATGATGTTGCCCACAGTGCCTGAAATATGATTCAAACGGCGTTATATACGCGTATATATGTATGTATATGGGATATGAGAAAGGTTATGGCGTTATATATGCACCACCACCTGATCAGCTGGTATACGTTGATGATTTTGCCCACAGTGGCTGATATGTTATGATGGGATGCCCTCAGAGGCTGATGATGTTATGAGACATGTACCTATGCACGACATGACATTCATATGCATATGCATGGCTCTAAGAGTAATTTATAATTTAAAAAGTTATTCATACTTACAGGTTGAGTGATGTACTCTATATTTCTTCCATGTCTCTTATGTACTTATTTATGTGCCTTACATACTCGGTACATTATTCGTACTGACGTCCCTTTTTCCTGGGTATGTTGTGTTTCATGCCCGCAAGTCCCGATAGACAGGTCGAGAGCCCTCCAAATGGGCTATCAGCTCAGCGGAAGATGTTGTTGCTCTCTATTTGCTCCGGAGTTGCTTATTTGGCTGGTATGATTTAAACGTGTATTGTTTGGTATTGCAGGACTCTGTCCCGACCTTTATGACATATATGTACTCTTATAGGCTTGTAGACATATGCCGTGTACATAAAAAATTGTACGGCCTTGTCGGAGTAAGTTTTGAGTTTATAAAGGATCATGTTGGCCTATTAGGCCCGTATGTCATGTGTTATGATGATGTAATAAGAAAGATACGTTACGTTGGTACTCGGTTGAGTAAGGTACCGGGTGCCCATCACGGCCTATCAGTTTAGGTCATGACAATTATCACATCATACTTGGCACTAGGCCACATTTCATAACTCAAACACTTTTCCCCCACATTTTACATCATTTCCACTTTCAACATTAACCTTGCAATTTAAGATAATAGGCACATATAAGAGCAATTCAAGTTGTAAGCATAGAGAGGATATTACATAGTTTGACATAGCAATCTCAATTTAAACTTGACTGAAATCTAGGCATTTTAGCACGTGGTTCACATTCTTCACACATCCTTAATTTACCAAAAATAGCATATTGAAAACATTGAGACACACCTTTCATATATATTCTTGCAACACCAATTCATTTGAAATAGCAAGCAGTACACTAATCAAATTTCGGAACTTATAACATTTGCATGGACACCAAGGGAGCTCAATTTCTAAGAAGAGGGGGTTTTGGTCATACATACCTAAAATTTTCCCTTTAATAATACTACGGCATCCACCACACTAAACAACTTCAATCTACAATAATGCAACACATTTGTAACTATATTAGTAAGATTTCTATATTTTAAGTCATTTAGACTTTTTATCAAACGTCTAATGAGTATATCTTTCCACAACCTCCTTCAATGGAATTTCTTCACCTAACAACTACCTTCCATACCAATGATTCACCTTACCATTGTCTCTAGGCCATCCACAACTTCCATTAGTACATGCATGCCCAACAATTCACACCCAAACCATCAATCTCCTTAATTAACCCATTTGACAATCTCTACAACACCAACACAACCTAGGGTAGGCACTTATCGCTTCCAATCACCATCCCATAAGTCCTAACATATATTTCATACATAAATAATTACCATAGAATAGTTAGAGATAATAGACATACCTCTTTTAGTAAGAATCTTGAAAATCTTCACTTGTAGTGTTCTTGACCAGTTTAGGGATTTGAATGGAAATTTATGGATTTTCAAAATTAATCCTTGTTAATATAAGTGTTTAAGAGTAGTAATCAACTCAAAATACTCCAAAAACATTACCTTGGTTCATGGGAGGGATGTATGAAACGGATTCCCCTTGATAAAGCAAACCCTAGCTCAAAAAAATAACTTAGAGACTCTCCATACCCGGTCTTGGGGGTATTTATTGGGCTTCTATGTGCACATCACGCTCAGGCCGCGCTCGGGAGGTAGAAACTTTCAAATATGCGCGGCCGCGCACCGGCCGCACATCTGGCCGTGCATATGACACAGGTCTAGTAAAATGGCCATAACTTTCTGTATAGATATCCAAATGAGGAATGGTTGATGCGTTGGAAACTAGACTCAAACGGTTGTTCACCACATAACTCCTTATATATATGTATATATTCACATCCAAAATTTGGTCATCTGCGTACTCATTTGGAATTTTAGTTTATCATGAACCTTTCCAAGTTGGCTTAGACTTAGGCCTCTCCTTAGACCACAATTCACTTATAATATGACTTATACACTTATTACCATATCCAATTGACACAAAATAAAATAATTAGCCTACCTTGGCACCACGAAGTATTAAATTACTTAGCAAAATTTTACCGGGGCATTACTTTCTTCCCCGCTTAGGATCATTCATCCTCGAATGATAACTGGAGTAAATCTCCAACACTTAGCATAATTTATCTCTTTTATCACATATCTTTAACTCTCAAATTTTGAGTAACTCCAAAAATTTTCAGAAATTTCGACAGAGTTTCCCTTGTAACTGGGCCTATCCACCTGCCAAAGAATCCCAGAAACACATCCGAACAACATATACATAATCCAAAGATACAACATAATATGAAATGATGCCAACATGGCCCCATAAGCAATGCATTACTGGAAAAGAAATACTATTAACATCAACTATCCAGGTGATACACAATTCATAGAAGGTAAGCTTTCAGCATCTTCATAGGACACAAATACTTAATTACATAGCTATCCAAAAAAGTGAGGGTAGTTATTCTTCTTTTCTTCCTCGGCCTCCCAAGTGGCCTCTACAAACTTCTGGGTTTGCCATAACACTTTTACGGAGGAAATTTCTTTATTTCTTAACTTTCGGGCTAGCCTATCAAGAATGGCAA